CTTTTGGTGTTCTTATTTTTATTATTGTTCAAGCTCAAGACAAAATGCAACTATCACCGCCACATATGATTTGTCATTACTTAAAATCATTTCAACGCGGGTTTAATGGAATGAACATGCTTATTAAAACATGGGATATTACCTAGATTTCATCTCTTTACACTTTCATTTTTATTTATTTTTTAATTTGAGTCTTCTCCTCTTTAATGCATGCTTTTTATAAACCATATACCTTATAAACAAACACTCTATTAGGGATACATTTCTAACCTTTTCATTTACATTTATGAAATTAAGAAATTAAAAAAGTGACTTTTATTTTATTTAAATTAATTAGGATAGTTTAGTTTAGTTGTTTTTTATTAGTACTGTTTCCTTTCATCATTTAATTCTCACCAAAATAAAAGTGTTATGGTGGGTTTCAAAAAAGAATGCAGAGGTATTAACTAATAATATTATGATAAAAGGGGCATATACAAAACAAAATAAAAAGTTAAGAGATTGATGTAGGAGTTTTTTAGAAAAATAAATATTTATCTTAGTTAATTTGATTTTTTTTATTCCATATGATAATGTTTTTTTGTTTTTTTATTTGAAGACAACAATTTTTATATTTTATTTTTCCCATTAATATTATTATTTCTTTCTTGTTTATTTTCTATATAAAGAATTGTAATTGCTTTTTTGACAAATGAGACATGGATGAATAAAATTAGGTATCATAAGAATTTCCTTATAGTCATGATATTATTGGTCTTTAATGGTCTTGACTTAACTTGTAATAAACCTTAATATCATTTTCTCTCGTCAATGTTAGTTAGTACTAGAGGCCAAACATTTTCAATGATTTTGGTTAGAGATTCTAGAGAACGTATATCAGAGTTAATTGATTTCAAGTAGTTATTTATTGTGTGATGTTGAATAATTATAGTTAAAAGAGATTGTAGAACATAACGTGCTCGTGTAGAAGAAAATAAATAGGTTCTTTCTAGATAAAAGAAGCATCTCATAACTAGGGTGTTGTTTTATCTCATAACTAGGGTGTTGTTTTTGTCAACGCCTAAAGTTGTTATTGAAAGTTTTGGTTACGAGACTCGTGTTGATATGACATGTACATGAATGTTATGCCGAAGATCTATGATAGGGTATCCCACATAAAATATTTGTATTAGAGACCTATGATGAAAAGGCCACCACAAATATATTAAGGATCCATGATGGCATGACCCATACACAAATGGATGTTCATGGTAAAAAATAGCTTTTGATCGAGGTCTACACTTAAGGATAAATAATAATTTTTTGATTTTATTTTTTCTATTTGATATTATTAGAATTTTCTAGTTTATTTTTTCTATATAAAGGATTGTAGCAGCTTTTAACAAATGAGACATAAACAAATAAAATTAAGTATCGTAAGAGTCTTCATATAATTATAATATTTTTAATATTTGCTTTCATGTGGTCAAGGACACAATCAAATTTGGGGTTTGCTTTTGGGAAGTTTTCAACACACTAAATTTGGATAAATCCATTATTAGTAGTTTAGAAGGGGTTTAGAAATACATCAACGTAATAGATTTGGATAAATCCATTATTAGTAGTTTAGAAGGGGTTTAGAAATACATCAACGTAATAGATTTGGATAAATCCATTATTAGTAGTTTAGAAGGGGTTTAGAAATGCATAATATCATATGAATAGAATGAATAGACGGGCGTGGTTGAGAATAATTTATAGACTGGGAACACGATTGAGAGTTGAAAAATTCTATTTAGGACTTGGTTGAGACTAGCCGAATAGTCTAATGACTAATTTTGGGTGTTTGGAACAACCTTAAATACACTAAGATTCCAGATTATCTTAATTTGGTTTCAGGACTATTTCAAGGCCTTCTCTTACACGGATTGAGAGATAACTTGAGGTGGTCATAATTACTGCACCAGAAAATGTATCGCCCCCACCACCATTAAAAAAAACCCTCTTAGTCCTAGCATGTCCTTTAATTTTAACTGTATTAAAAGGATGGAATTAATCTTAATGTGTATCTAGATTGAATTTTGAATGTCATGATCACTAACCATCAAAACAAAAGCGAATAATTACTAGACAGAAAGATATAGTAATTCAAACGACAAGTAGCAATTTTACTGAATAAAAAACGGCTACCTTTTGCGAAAAGGGAGGGGAAGAACAACTTGTAGAATTGGAATAATACTCGGCATAATCAAGTAAAGATGTGATTACAAAGACTGGCTACACTTTCGGCGAGTCATTTCCAAGTAGTAACTTTAATGCTCAAGAACAAGATCACGTTTTCCCAGCTACAAGCATGGTCAAAATCATGCCAGCAATAGTAACAAGTATATAAAAGATCATAGAATCAACCGTTAATGTCGACTGCAACCATGTAGGGAAATGATTGTGGGATCCATTAGATTTCTCTAGAGATATCTTTACGTTTTGAAGGTTTATTGCAAAGGAAAGATTTTAATTCGGAGATTTGTAATATGAAATCAAGAGGATTTTAATTCCAAGTTTATTAACATTAGTACTAGTATGCTGAATTTATTCAAGCTGTAGGCAATTACTAATTTTTTTAATATTTTTTTTAGTATATTTTCAATCCAACTAGCTAGTATCTCTACGTCTTTCAAAGGAGGGATCATAACGACGAGTTTGATAAAAATATATGGAAACTTGGAACGTCTAATTTCAAAGTGCCCATGAAAAAAAGAAACTTGACAACAAATTTAGGCCGAGATCCAAAAATTCTTCACAAACTTATGAAGTTTTTTAAGGTGTTTTTCCTAAATGGACATCATATTCAAAACTCTATATTATGTCTCCCTTTCCTATGATGCAAAAGTTTTTTTTTAAAAAAATGGATATTGTTTTAGTTAATTTTATGTTTTTTTTTATTCCTTTTCTATTTAAAATAAATAAATAAATAAATTTCTAATTTATTTTTCCTGTTTAGTATTACTTAGAGTTTTCTAGTTTATCCTATATAAAGGATTATAATAGTTTTTTTAATAAGTAAAAATATAAATAAATAAGAATTAAATATTTTAATTATCATCTTATCCTTATGACATCGTTGATTTTTTGAAGATTATGATATATAACAAGCCACTTTATATGTGGCATCACCTCCCCACTACGTATAGAATTTGGATTCATTCTTAATTAGAAATTAATATCTGCTAAGTTGTAAGAGAAAATTAATATTCTTCGAGTCTTAAAAACCAATTATGTAAGAAGATATTTTAAAAATTACAAGCAAAATGACACTTTGAAGTAGAGAAAAATACAAGCAAAGATGTGTGTGAAGACAAGGGATAACTTCACACAGAATGTGAGGATTTCCATGCTTGCGATGCGATACTTTGCCAAAATATGTGGGCTTGATTATGGGCTTGGAGATCAGTTTTGTTGGGCTTGATTAGAAACTTGCTTGAAAAATAAATTAATCATGGAATTAATAAAGTTGGTAATTTATATGAGAGAAATGGAAGAAAATGTAAGGATGAAAGTGAAATGTCAAGTATAAGAAAATATTAACTTGTGTGGACCTCTATTATTTATCTAATAATCTAATATATTTAAGAACTTAGTTCATGTTGGTTCATCTCGAAAATTACATGAAAATTAAGATATCATTATCACACCAGTTAAGAATATTCATTGATTAAGAAAAGAAGTACAATTATTGGTAAAACAATATGGCACTCCACCTGCCTAAGAATTTGTATTTTGCAAAGAATTTTTCAAAATAAAATATATTAATTATGAAAAATATTGTTTATATAGGCTCCCGGGAAAGGATAAATCATAATTATCAGGAAAAAAACTTCACGTAGAGTATTAGTATTAGGATTTCCATGCTTGCGATGAAAATCGTAATACCAAGTTTGCTTGAAAAATATTTAGATGGGCTTGTGTTTCAGTTTTATTGGGCTTGATTGGGAATTTGCTATATAAATGGGCTTGTGTTTCAGTTTTATTGGGCTTGATTGGGAATTTGCTTGAAAAAATAAATTCATTATAAATATACAAGAGAAATAGAAAAAAATATACGGTTCGAAAGTGAAATATTAAAATCTTGCCGTTTGCGACATGTGGCACAAACGACAACGGATTAAATACTTGTTAGAAAAATATAGTTATAATTATTTTTTAAATATATTAAAATAATACTTTTTATAATACTTTTTATGTTAAAATATGTCAAGATGATTTAAAATATATAAAAAAAATTATTTTTTTTTAAATTTTTATGTTAAAGTATATCAAGATGATTTAAAATATATAAAAAAAATTATTTTTTTTTAAATACACAAGTACAAATGAAGAAATTATGTACCTTCAATTACAATCGTACACAAGTACAATCATATTTTCAAACATTTACTAGAAGAAATTATGTACCTTCAATTACAATCGTGGCTCTGCTTTCCAATACAAAGAAGGATTCATAGCCCTTCATTTTCTTTTTTCTTTTTTAATTAATATGGCATGAGTTTTCTGCTCTTAAACAATATTGACGGTCTCCCACTCCTATTCTTGTCCTTTCCTCTCGGAGCCACTATGAAAGACTGCAGAATTTGATTGGATTGAAAGCAATATAGTCTCTGTCTGTAGGGTAAAAATTCATCATGGTTCATTTATAATCCAGTCCAACTGCATTGAATTGATGAAATACGATGAATATCTGATAAATCCGATGAAATATCTTCGCAAATCGAAGAAATTTCCTCCAAGAAATAGGGGATGCATGCACGACTCCATTTATAAAATCAAGAGGCCTGCTATACAAAACAGATTGAATCTTTTTATAATGACATGATGTATCTTCCCCATAGCACAAGCATATTAAACTAATATACAGCTTGTGCAATGCCCTTCTAAGCACATGGACAACTTGTTGATTGTCTTTAGATTCACTCGATAGATCTGATCATTTTAATATTACAACCTGTGCACAACCCTTGCACTAAATCGCACCTACAGCTAGCAACAACCAAGTTGCTCAACATCACAGAAGCTCTTTTCCACAACAGTGACTTCATGGGAAGTTTGCTGTTACATGTCCGAAAATCCCAGCTGTTGTCTGGTCAATCATAGGGCTACATGTTCATGTCCCTTTTTTTCTCATAGTACTTGCTAAAAAGGGAAATAGACATCGGATGGTCTATTTTTGGAAATAAAATAGAGGATCTTGCTTTGATAAAGACTTCCAAAATGAAACAAGAGACACTAACATTGGTACTGGTGAATTTTGCGGGGATTATGCAGAGAGCTGATGAGTCTTTGTTGCCAGGAGTGTATAAAGAAGTTGGTGCAGCTCTACATACAGACCCAACTGGGCTGGGTTCACTCACTTTGTTTAGATCAGTAGTTCAGTCTTCTTGCTACCCATTAGCAGCTTACCTTGCTGTGCATCATAATCGTGCCCATGTCATTGCTCTTGGTGCTTTTCTTTGGGCTGCTGCCACCTTCCTTGTTGCCATATCCTCTACATTTTTACAGGTTCCTCTTGATCTCTCTCTATCTCTTTATGTGGAGATTTTTATTTGGCTCAATTATCTTTCTTTTTTGAGTGACATTTCATAGTTGTTCTGGATATCTTAGTTGCGATTCTAAGAAACCCATTTTGGTGTGCTTTTATGGTTACATGATAAGATCTAGCTCCAGCAAAAGGGTTGGTCTGTAAAATGGAGTTTAAGAGAAAATGCCTTCTTAGGTGAAATCTTACGTGCTTGTTTGGGAAAACGATGTAGCATTTAGATTCGGAGACTCTTTCTTGTTGCATCACTTGCTAGCATCTCGTGATATGTTTTTAGGACATTGAATTTGTACAATTATTCCAAGAAAGGAATGCCACTGTACGATATTTTCACTCTACGTAAAGGCTTTTATCAACAGAGGATCACAACCTATCAACACTTCCTAGAATGTTGGAATGTGGACAAATCATTTGATGGGTCAAACATAATCCCAAATGGTTAATTTGGTGACTCTATTAGATTGCAATAGATTCATGTTTGATAGCAGTACATGGAAATCTGAAGTGCTATGAACTCTTTTGTCGAGCCACGCTGTTATTAGAAGGAATGGATAATTAATATAAGTTCAAAATGATGGTGATTATTGGAGAATTTAATGAGAAAGAGCTGAATTTGTTGCCAACTCTTTAAGGAGATTGGTGCTTTTTATTCTGTGCAAATAACAGTGATAGGTAATTCATGTATTTCTTTGCACGTCTAGTGCTTAATTTTGCATCTGATCAATTAATTAGGTGGCAATTTCAAGAGGTCTAAATGGGATCGGACTTGCCATAGTCATACCTGCCATTCAGTCTCTTGTTGCCGATTCGACCGATGAAAGCAATCGCGGTATGGCATTTGGATGGCTCCAGCTAACAGGAAACCTTGGCTCCATCATTGGAAATCTCTGTTCGGTACTACTAGCCACAACATCGTTCATGGGGATAGCTGGTTGGAGAGTTTCTTTCCATTTGGTTGGAATAATAAGTGTAATAGTTGGTGTTTTGGTCTATCTCTTTGCCAAGGATCCACACTTCTCCGATGCTGATGGTAGAGCTAAAGATAAAACTCCTCAGACTTTTATTTCAGAGTTCAAGGACCTGATCAAAGATGCGAAGTCAGTTGTAAAAATACCAACCTTCCAAATACTTGTTGCTCAAGGTGTCTCTGGAACATTTCCTTGGTCAGGTTTATCTTTCGCTCCGATGTGGTTAGAGCTTATTGGATTCTCTCATAAACAAACAGCATCCCTCCTGAACATTTTTGTAATCGGTGGTTCATTCGGTAGCCTGTTTGGAGGAAGAATGGGGGATATCCTTGCTAAACGGTTGCCTAATTCTGGGAGAATAATGCTATCACAGATAAGTGCTGGTTCAAGCATTCCTTTAGCAGGGATTTTGCTTCTGGTGTTGCCATATGATCCATCAACAGCATTCATGCATGGTCTGGTCTTTTTCACCATGGGACTCTGCACATCCTGGAATGCTCCAGCTACAAACAAGTATGTATTCCTATTTCACTTAAAGAATGTTTCTTTTTCTTTTTTTGGCTTGCTTGCCATAGGATTTGAAGGGTTGTAAAATGAGGAGAATCATAAGCATAGAAGAAACCGTGGCTTCTCATTGATCCATCAAAGTAGTACACATGACATGCACACGAGGGAGTTGTCATCAACTGTTGGTTGCTGTTGAAAAAGGACACCCCTTACTATAAAAGATGACCAGTCACAAACCATAACACATTGATCTTCGTAGTGGACTAGGTTGCTTGCCCCAGAGCAGCTTTAGACAAAGGATTTCCCAATTTCTTGCAAAATGATATTTAACTTAAATCTTCCTTCACCTTCATTAGATTAAGATTGTAAATTTTTTTCTTAAAACTTGTAGAAAACTTTGATAGCTTGAAAAGGACCCTCGTGTAAACATTAATCTCAAAGGTTGCAATTTGCAAACGTCAGGGATTATGCTGGCCTTATATCGCGATTATGCTAAATTCATTGGTACGTCTCACAAATTATTCCTGCTGCAAGCACTTGAACAGCAATTACCCTAAGCGTGGCACTTGATAAGTTCTAGTTTTCATGAATGACATTTCCTCGTGAGCATTCCAGTATGTTCTGCTGCTCCAGGTGCCTAGAGCAGCGTAAAACATATGCCGGCTTATGTTTTTTGAAGTGCAATAAAGCATGCTGTGAAGTAGCATTGATTGCCAATCTAGTTCCCTACTAGTTCGATGCATAACGATATTACAAACAGAAACGATGTTTAATGAATCTGAATTGTCTGACATATTTGCACAGTCCAATATTTGCAGAGATAGTGCCAGAGAGATCTCGAACAACAATCTATGCTTTGGATAATTCATTTGAGTCCGTACTGTCTTCTTTTGCTCCCCCAATAGTTGGCATTTTGGCTCAGCGCTTATATGGCTACAAAGTTCCCAAAACATCATCGGATTCTGTCAAAGTTGAAACAGATAGAGAAAATGCTGTATCACTTGCCAAGGCACTCTTCATGTCATTTGTCGTTCCAATGTCAATATGTGTTTTCATCTACTCCTTCCTCTACTGGTCGTATCCAAGAGACCGGGAGCGGGCAAAGATGAATGCGCTGATAGAATCAGAAATGCAACAAGTAGAGGCACAGGATTCTACTTTCGGAGAAGAATACTCTCAGCTACATCTTTCAGAATCAAAAGGGCTTGATGGAAAGGAAACAGCAGAAACTGATGTAGAATATGGAAAAATCGATCGGTTGGATTTCGATGATGATAGCGACGACAAGGCTCTACTTTCAAGTAAACTAGCATCCTCAGATTAGGAGACTGGTATGATTAGTGGTATTTAGTGCCTGTATGAGGATTTATTTGCACTGAGTTTTAGTAAATTATGAATTTTTTTAAAATTGATTTTTTAGATATTTATAGATAGTTTTTATATATTGATATTAAAAATAATTCTTTAAAAAAAAATTAATTTAATGTATTTAAAAAATAACTTCAACCATATTTTCAATTAACTCACTAAACATAAGAAAAATCACACCAATATTTAACACTTTCAACGAGTTCGATTAATAAAAAAGCCATTCAGGTTTCCATGATCAAGGGAAACTCTCTTTTATTGAGCAATACAAGTTTTCAGGCTTGAGTAACTCTGCCAATTCATGGTTCCAAGTTTTCAGGTTTCCATTATCTATCTTTTGAGAGCTTCTCTTCATCCTTTATTTGCAAATCTTTTTCTTTACAAGTTTCTTGGTTCAAGCCTGAAGAGCAATGAGTCACAAAATTATAATGGAGTAATTATTTTTTTAAATATTTTTTATTTGAAAATATATTAAAATAATATTTATTTATTTTTTTAAAATTTTATTTTTTAATATCAAGATATTAAAATAATTTTAAAATATAAAAAAATTAACTTAAAACTAAAAAAACAAGCAGTGTCTAGAACAGTCCTATTATAAATTAATTGGAATGTTGGCTGGAAATGTACCAAATTAAAACCATCTTTATGACAAAGTTGAAATCTTATTTAAATACAAGAATATAGTCTTGAACGTTGACGAAGTCGTCACACGGCCACCAAGTAAACAACCACCGCTTTGAATTTTATTAGACGGCGCATGACATCACCTGTGAGAATTCTATTCGTCCTCTCATCTTATGTGATGATCTCTGATGAAAGTTTTGGGTTTTCAGAATTTCATACGGTTCATGACCAAGAATCACATATGCTTTTCTTTGTAAATGCTTAATTAAAGTTTAATTTCTGAGAAATATTGAAGATCAGATCAAGAGGGAAATAAATAAATAAGGCATAAAAATACAAATTTAGACTTGACGGAAAAGGATATAGCTAAAGGCAAAATGGTAATAAGGCTCGAGTGGCTATCAGACATTGATTTTCTTGAGGATTCCACGCAGAATCCCGAAATTCTTGTCTTGACCTCTGAATTCTGATTGGTGGATTCTGCTCTCCTCCGATCCTTCTTTTCCTTTAATAAAAAGAACATAACTTGATACTTCAGAGATCAATTTTTCCTTTAATAAGAACATAACTTGATACTTCAGAGATCAAATCCCCCCTATCAAATTATCTATCCACAAAGTCAACTCTTCTTTCTCTCTAAACAGAGGATCCTCTGTTTTCTTCGGTTCCAAAATACAGAGGACTCTGATTTCAGAGAAACTTCAACGATGAAACAAGAGACTCTGACATTAGTGCTAGTGAATCTAGCAGGGATTATGGAGAGAGCTGATGAGTCATTGTTACCAGGAGTGTACAAAGAAGTTGGTGCAGCTTTACATACTGACCCCACTGGTTTGGGTTCATTAACTTTGTTTCGATCCATTGTTCAGTCTTCTTGTTATCCACTAGCTGCTTACCTTGCTGTGCATCATAATCGTGCCCATGTTATTGCTCTTGGTGCTTTTCTTTGGGCAGCCGCCACTTTTCTCGTTGCCATTTCTTCTACTTTCTTAGAGGTTTGAGACTATGAGTCCCTCTATTTGTGTTGTTTCTCTCTTTTTTCAAGATTTGTAAGTTGTTGTAGTTTTGAAGCTTTAGTCTTTGTTGTAAATTTGAATGCCCCCCTTTTTTTTCTAGTCTTGTCGGTGCGGTCTCTGTTACAGATTCTTCATTTTGGGTTATTTTTAATGATTTGATTAGAGGATCTATTGATAGGTTCTAATGAATTTCTTGGTGAGGCTGGTTTGTTATACTTTGCAGAAGAATAGTTGAATATGTGAATTGCTGGGCTGCCTGGATTAGTCCATTTAATTCCTATATTACTAGGAGTATAGGATTTTTCCATGTAAAATGAGGAAATTGGGTTTGTATTCAATTGATGTCATTCTTCTTTTCCACTAGTTCGAACCTTTGATGAATAAATATGGCTATTGGCCTATCACCACAACACCAGCCATAGATTGCAGGTTCAACACCAGCCATAAATTGCAGGTTCAACTTACACTATGACTGTCCTATCTTAAGGTGAGTAATGACCTGGATTAAGAAATTTCTTGAGCATTGTTGAAATTGGGATTCAATCATGGGTATGGTTCTACGAATAGACCTTCATTATTACGACTAGAATAATGATACTGATATTAGACTAGTAAAAATGCTATTTTTCTGTGAGAAATGTAGTGAAGGAAGCTAATCAGAAGTATTATTACATTTCTTGTTCAAGACCTTCATTATTACGACTAGAATTTTGGTATGAATCATATGATTGGCATCAAGAAGCATTTGTTGGAGAAGTTCTCGATGAAAGAAAAATGAAGTCGTCATAGTTTTCAAGTCTTTATTAGAAATGTTGAAGTGATATGTTGCATACTTTCATTTGTTATGCAGATATAAGAAGACTATGAAGGTAAGCTGAACAATTTTCTGGTTTGAAAAGCGAGTCCTTGTGGTTAAATTGGATACTTTTATCAGGAATCTTTTCAGCAAGTTGTATACTTTGTAACTGAACTTGGAAGAAGCAAGAAAAAACACTATTGAGAATACGAAGCTTGCTATTTTTGGTGGTTTGAGTCTCCTGGATGGATAATCATAAAAGAAGAACTCCTGCTTTTCATGGCATGACCTCTTGCCTAATTTAATGTTCTCGCATTTGGTTATCAGGTAGCGGTTTCAAGAGGTCTAAATGGGATTGGACTGGCCATAGTCACACCTGCCATTCAGTCCCTTGTGGCTGATTCAACTGATGAAAGCAATCGTGGCATGGCATTTGGATGGCTTCAGCTGACAGGAAACCTTGGTTCCATCATCGGAGGGCTCTGTTCAGTTCTAATAGCCTCAAGAACATTTGTGGGAATACCTGGCTGGAGAGTTGCTTTTCATCTGGTTGGAATAATTAGTGTAATTGTTGGTATTATGGTCCGTCTTTTTGCTAACGATCCACGCTTTTCTGATACTAATAGCAAAGCTAGAGACCAATCTCCCAAGTCTTTTATCTCAGAGGTGAAGTACCTGGTGAAAGAAGCAAAGTCAGTTATAAAAATTCCGTCATTCCAAATAATTGTGGCTCAAGGTGTATCTGGATCCTTTCCTTGGTCAGCTTTATCATTTGCTCCTATGTGGTTGGAGCTCATTGGCTTCTCCCATGAAAAAACAGCATTTCTCATGGCTCTTTTTGTAGTTGCTGGGTCACTTGGTGGCCTGTTTGGTGGAAAGATGGGGGATGTCCTAGCTAAACGCTTTCCCAATTCTGGGAGGATATTTCTGTCACAGATAAGCTCTGGTTCAGCCATACCATTGGCAGCAGTTTTGCTTCTTGTATTGCCTGATGATCCATCCACAACATTCATCCATGGTCTGGTCTTTTTCATCATGGGATTTTGCGTATCCTGGAATGGTCCAGCTACAAACAAGTATGCATTTCAACTCATCATCTCCCTTGATTTTCATGTTTGACTACCAACAGCATTTGCTTTTTTCATCCTAGAGAGTTACAATCAACTGATAACATGGTATTGAAATAAGATATCTGCACAAACATGGTTTCAAATAAGTCAAAGTCCACAGTTATAATTGAAGCGGCATAGCGAAACATGGAAAATCAGGGTATCTCAAACTCTAAATTATATTTCTAAATTGTAGAAAAAACCCTCTTTTCATAAATTCTGAATTCAATAATAATAATCTCTTTTGAAAAATTACATATAAACTTTAAATAGTGATTGGAACCAACTTAGTTAAATAAAATTAAATCAAATAGAATTCTTAATCCTAATTAAGTAAAGAATACAAAAATAACTAGGAAAACAAAGAAAAATTAAAAAAGTATCTTCTAGGTTTAATTTGAGGATCTTTTCTATCTCGCCTAGTTACAGCAAGCTCATCCATTATAGAACTGGGTTTGTAAAACATTTTAGCAAAATTTGAGCACAATCTAATAATGGTATTAAAAGTAAGTTTGTTTCCATCAAAAATACTCGTTTGATATGTCCAAACTTCTTTTTGAGCTTTGTCCTGTCTATTTTGGTTCGCGAATATATTTAGCAAACTTTCCATGTCATTCTCATTTACTTGAGGAAGACTCAACCTTGAGTCATCATCTAAATTTGGATATAGCGGCTCATCATCATAATTAGGATGACTGTCAAGAACATTGAAAGTCTTAGGAATATCCATATTTTCTTAGGAAAATATTTATATTTTTTAGCAAATTGACAACATAAACTGTCCTTTTATCTTGTCCATTAGAATACACTTATTATGTTGTAAGTATCATATTTCTTCTTCAATAGGTTGTTATATGGTCCCAACTAGAAATCTCTCTCTGTGTAGAAACATCATCGCCTTATCTCCTTTCTTGAACAATTTAGCATGATGTTGTTTATCAACAACATCCTTGTACTTAGCATTGATTTGTTGTAACTTATGTCTCATCTCAACCCGTATAGTGTATGCATTTGCAATCATCATCTCGACAACAATGCTATAACCACCACCCTTCTAAACTAGTACAGGATCAAGTATATGCTTGGGACACAACATATACATAATTTTGAATGGTGATTTACCTATTGCCCTATGTTTAGAAATGTTGTGTGTGAATTCTGCTCGTGCAAGTGCCACATCCCACTGCTTTGACTTGTCACCATAGATACTACAAATCAAGTTCCCGGGTGTTTAATTCATCAACTCTATTTTTCCATTTATTTGGGATGTGTTGTGATATTAAAATTCAAGGATTAATCATACATTTTCCACAATATCTGTCAAAAGTGGTCATAAAACTTTTTTGTCTCGATCAGAAGGTCTTCGCCACCTTATACAAATGAACTACCTTTTAGAAGATAAGTCGAGCAATACTAAAAGCATTGTTGGTCTTCTTGTAAGGGATAAAATATGTCATGGGAACATTTTAACTACAACAAATACATAATCCATTCCTTTGGGAACGTTTTAACTACAACAAATACATAATCCATTCTCCTTTATGTATAGGGTAATCAAAGTATAAAATTCATAGACAAGCCATCCCATATATTTTTAGGAATAGCTTAAGGCATGTATAAAATAGTATTTTATGCTGCCCTTTGGCAATTTATCAAATATAGCAATTTTACATAAACTTACTAATATCCCATTTCCATTGAGGTTAATAATATATGTTAGCTACAACATCTCTCATGCTAAGTGACTATCTAAGTTTTCTCCATGCAAATCCTGAATCACCTTCTCTTGTAATATAGATAAGAAATGCAAAGTTGTTTTCCTAGTATCATAAATTTGGAAATCATCAATGAGCATGTTTTGACACTTTCCCTCACCTCATTAAAATTCTCATCATGCTCTACAATTATTACAAACAATCAAATCTAGTAATCTCTCATTTTAAGTTAACTAACAAGGTTATCTTTCTACTCAAAGCATTGACAACCCTATTGTGGACTCTAGATTTTGATTGGAACTATTGTAAGTAAATCACGCATCTCACATGCATATCATTACTAATTTAATTATATTTATATGGGAATTTCAATGTCTCATGATCACATAATAGAGCACAAATCCCTTGCTTATCAGGTAATGCTCCCATTTAATGCTCCCATTTCCTTAGAGTCCTAAAAATAGCTTAGAATTACTTATTGCATGTGAACCACTTTAATCTAACATGACTTAAATTTTTACTAAAAAATGTCATGAGTCTCTTCTCTCTTGAAACGATACAATTATAATTCCTCCACCATAAACATCACATTCAACCTCAAACAGTTTGTCAAAATTTAAAAGTGCTAAAATTGAAGTGATGCTTAACTTTACTATAATTGAAACAAAGTATTTTTCTACCTTCTCTTCCTAGTTGAACTTTCATTTCTTCATAGAGAACTTTGTTTTGATAAGTTTTGAATTCATTATCAACAACAACAATAATAATAATAATGTCTTCTTAAAAATTACATACAAACTATTTAAATGATGTTTGGAATCAGCCTAATTAGATAAACCTATACAAAGTAAAATTATGTATCCTAATTATGAAAAGAATCTGAAAATAACAAGAATGATGACGATAATGAAAAAAAAATCTTGTAAGTCTAATTTAAGGGCGTTCTCATTCAGCTAGTTACATCAAGTTAGTTCTCTATAGAATTGGGCTTGGGCTTGTGGAATATTATGACAAAATATGACTAATATCCGAGGATTGAATTAAAAGTTCTGTATGTTTTCATCGAAATACTAGTTTGACACCTCAGAAATTCTTTTTGAATTTTTCCTTATTTTTCTAGTCCATAACGTATCCTCTGACATTTAACTTCAATATGATTTGCATCAATGCTTATGGAGAATAGTTATGATTTTGACTAATATGTTCTAGAGGCCACGAGTGTAGATCGGTAGATACAAAAATCCAGTTTGCAATTAGCATTTGATAATACAATCTCGTGAAGATATTATTTAATTTGCAGAAACCCAATTCCATTATATAACCTTAGCTTTTTTTCATCACCAACTTGGGTAGTCAGGTTTAAACTGCTTAGAATTAACTACTTCTCTGTCATGGTTTCGACAGCCATCTATAAATTACACGCTGCTGATATTATTAATAGAAGAAAAGATGTATTTAATGGAGCTGTCTAGCGCAATCTTCAACTAGTTTTTCCACTTCTTGATTTTATGTTTTTCTGTTGTGCATACAATCATCATTAAAATAAAGAAATGTATATTGTTATATGGCTAAGAACTGCAAAGAATTATGATCTGGATCTTGATGACAAATTTCTCCTTAAGCATTCAAACCCCTAATGTTGCATCCAGTAGCATGTCTTCCGCTGATGCATAAACTGCTTGGTTCATGTGCTGTGAAGTCATGGGGACTGATCGGTTTCCTACTTGCCTTGAAGCATTAGATAATGAAGTTAGAGTATATATTCCCACGTCTAATTTGTATTATATTAGATATGTATAACTGGTGTTATAGTCCAATATTTGCAGAGATAGTCCCACAGAAATCTCGAGCGAGCGTCTATGCTTTGGATCGATCATTTGAATCTGTGCTATCTTCATTTGCTCCCCCTACAGTAGGGATTTTGGCTCAGCATGTTTATGGTTATAAAACTCCCAAAAAATCATTAGACAATGTCAAAGTGATAACAGACCGAGAAAATGCTGCATCGCTTGCAAAGGCACTCTACACAGCAATTGGCATTCCAATGGCATTATGTTGCTTCATCTACTCATTCCTCTATTGCACGTACCCAAGAGACCGGGAGAGGGCAAGGATGACTGCTTTGATAGAATTAGAAATGCAACAATTAGAGACAGATGATTCTCCTTTGAGAGAAGAACACACGCGATTGAATGTTTCGGAAACAAACGGACTGGATGGAGATGAAAGAACCGAAATAGACATCAAGAATGGAAGCAATGAGAGCATTGATTTCAATGATGATGACGAGAAGGCTCTACTTTATCGTCAGCTAACATTCTCAAATTTAGCAGACTGACGAACCTGTTAGGCGAAAGCTGTGTTGCTGTTACATGATATACTCAGCTAATCGATATACACAGAAAAAAGTTACATTAAAAGAACACTCATTTTGTATTCATCCATTGATTTGATGCTAGCTTGTGTTTCATCACCAAATTTGATTCCCCAAGCTCTGCATTTTTCTGGCATGAAAGTTTGGCACGTTTTTCTTGTCCTCAAATGACTTAACTGTTCAGTATCTTTCAGCAACTTGTTTGTGAATAATTGCAACAGCTTAAAGGAGGATCTATCATTCTAATACAAGAAGGGGTGAGAAAAAAATCAAAATATCAAGAATATCAATAAAAATTAAGTTATCATGGTTGAAAATTTTAAAATTCAACTGGTTTGATTTGGTTTTTGTTTGGACATGAAAAAATAAAAAAACAAAAAAAAAACCCACTTCCTTTTCTCTCTTCGAACGGCTGCCCCTTCAAAATCTAATCTTTTTATTTGTGTTTGTACAGTAAGTGCTTGTTTGTTATATCTTGCACTTGTATTTCGCCAGCAAAAGCCCCTTTATCTTTCCTCCCTTCTTCCTCATCTTTACTCTCATATTCCTTTCCTCTCTTGCAAACTTCACCTTCGGAATTTTTGTTTCCTTCTATTTTTGTTGTTGTAAACCGAGTTGATTTCAATATGGGGTGGATCCAATTGAATATGATGAGATCCCTTCGATTTCCTTCACCTGCACGCGTCATCTTCAGGTGTGTTTGAGGTTGAAGTGCTTTGAAGTATTGTTGAGTCTTTTTTAATAGAATCCAAAAACAAAAACAACAAAAAAAACGTATATTTTTAATTTTTAATGAAATGTGGTTTGTGTTTTAAAAAAATTATATCTATAAAAAAAAACTCATTTTCAACATAATTCCAAACACACCCAAAATCTATCATCCTTTTCTACTTCTGTTCTCACAAGGACAATGTTAGAGCTAATTTTGAGATAGATCCGATTGGATAGGATGGGATTCTAAAAAATTATTTTTTCTCGTGTTTTGTGATTGTAATTTATGGAAATATAATCTAATTATTTTTCATGGTCATATATTTTCTTAATTTATATATTTATGTGGTTCTTAGATGTGATATTTTATTAAATAAATGTTAGGTTATAAATATTCATAAAAAATTAAATGACTTAAACTCTCAAGTAAGGAAAAAAATGTTTTTTTTTTCAGTTTAAATTACTTTTTCTTATCCAACATGTTATATATATATATATATATATATATATATATATATGTCATGATTTTTAGTGAATAATCATAACCAAAATTTTAAAAAACTTATGTATATCATATTAATAAATAATTATTCATATCACAATCACTAATATTACTATAGAATATATAATCTTATTTATAACTTATGAAAATAAAAATGGATAATTTTTTAAATATCATCATAATAATTTTGTTTTAAAGAGAATTTTATTTAAAATAACTTATTAATTACAAATAAAAGAAAAAAGGTGAGTTGTTTTCAGAAAAAAAAAACTTATGTGTTGCTAGATTTAAAAAGTCATGCTCATCCTAACATAACACCTAGATGCATTCAGGTTTGTCCTTTATCTTTTTTTATTTAAAACAATGAAGGATAAACGACATATTATTTATCCAAATACTTTTTAAATAAAATAAATAATATATTATTTTTTACTATATTTTCTAGTCATGTTTAGCGACCAGAAAAGTAGAGTTCAAGTTTTAGGGTTCAAAACTCAATTTTTAACTTTTTTTTTCATTTAAAAAAAATCATTCAAAAAAACCCTCTAATCTCTTTAGAAAAAAAAACAAATAAAAAACTTCATGGACTCCAATCTAGTTTTTTAATATTGTTAAAGGACTAAAACACTCTATTTAACTTCTTTTTTTTTACACAAACTGAACCCATAGCCTTTCATTTCTCTTTCTTTTTTTTTTCTCGGTGATTTTCTCTCAAAATACAGGAACTAAAAGGTAATAAAAATAAAGTATTAAAATTGAAACATAAACAACTAAAGTTAACCAAATCAAAAACTTGATAGATCAAAGTAAATTTTCGTACTGCCTCGGTGAAGAGCTACAAGAAAGGTCCGACTGTTTTAGTTATATTGATAACGTGTTGATTTTCTAATTTCGCTAGGACCATTGATTTAGATAATATACTAAAAATCATTAATCTGACTTTAATTAAGTCTGGTTTGCAAATAAAGCCCATCAATTCTTGTAAAGGTCCAACAAATACTTGCAAGATCTGGGCACTCCCGGTCTCAACACTAAGAAATCAAGCTGCAGTTTCTCACTCCAGCTGGTACCATTTTTCAAAGGAAAAACTTGTGGAAGCCTGTTCCAAGTCTAGATGTTGGCTAGCTATCATGGAATATATTACTTCCATATTGAATATAACGAGTATAACGTAACGGGGTGGTGGCGCAGTTGGCTAGCGCGTAGGTCTCATAGCTTCTGAGTTATCCTGAGGTCGAGAGTTCGAGCCTCTCTCACCCCAATCTTTACTGTTTTCAATCTTTGTGATTAATTAATATTTCGGACTCTCTCTTTTACCCTTTATGAGGAGCTTAATATCTAAATTTGTTGGATTTTGGAGCACATGCTTGTTCCTTTAATGCAAAACTCGTAAAATCTCCTAATTTCTTGAAAACAATGGCGCAATTTCTTTACTGTGAGTAAATGGTCACATCCCACAGCACTGGCCCTCTTAACTGCTTCCCCACCGACAGTGTTACTGCTGCTATGATTGCCATGCCACAGCCCCTTTCGTCGCCCTTCACAGATGATGCTGCCAAGCCCACCGACATCTCAAAACACCATGTGTGCCACTCCACGGTCATGTTGAAGACAAATTTGAATCACCTAACTTCATTATTCCCGGCCCTTCCCCGTCCACTGATTCGCAGGCTGGAGGTGGAGATGGAAGGAGATTATACCTGTTGCAGTGTGTGTGGATTGATATATAATGGTATTATCACAGGGGAAATTCACCCCCTCTTTCACCATTACTTATGATGAGATCACAGAGCTTTCAATATTCTCTGGGTTCCATATTAGAAGATTGGCTCAGGCCTTCAGAGTTTTTTTTCTGTTTCTTAAAGGGCAATGGAGCACATTAATCATATATATAATACCTTTCTTTAAAAAAAAAAAACGCAAGGTAAAAGGCTCTCGCTCGACCTTCTGTGTAAATATTTGAATAAATCATTTGATGTAAATATTTGTTCATAAATAAATTTGAAATTTTAATAATCCGTTAACCGAAGTTATGTTTTCATTCACTTTTGTTTTTAACAAAGGCTCTAATCAAATATTGTAAAATTTATTTTAGAATTAATTAATTACATTGAATAATTTAGATTGTTCAAGACCTAATTAATAGCAGGAGAGCGGTATACGTACCTTTTAGAAAGAAGCATAAATATAGCTCCCTTGTGTTAATTTCCTTCTTGTTAAAAACAAAAAACACGTTAATTTCCAGCAAATACGGATTGTTAACTCCACGTCACTGGGTACAAAAAAACATGTACATGCATGCAAAGACACGCACTCTTTAAAACATGAAAAAGGCTCGAAGAAGACATGTAAACATTGAGCACATGGAAAGAGGGCCAGATCTAGCTAGGACCATACCTCACTTTAAATTTTATATATATATATATATATATATATATATATATATATATATATATATATATAAAGTAGTTTTAATCTTCTCTCTGCATGGCTCTGAGCCCATCTTTCAAGTTTCTCCATGTGCATAAAAGGGTGGTTTCTCATTCAAAGCTAAAATCATCTCCCTTTTGTTTTTTTAATACATACATACATACATACATATATATATATATATATATAGTATAAGTGACTTGACTTTGGTTTAAGATTCATAGTTTTTCTATATGTTTTTAAAATATTTAAAAGACTGAGATATTAATTAAAACTAATTTATTTTAGTTCGATATTTTTTAAATCATGTTTTTTTTTGTGTGTGTTTTTCAAGATTCCATCCATATTTTACATATAAAACTAATAAAATGATTTAAATGCTTTCAACTTTAATAGTTTTAACTTGACCAATTATTTAAGACTTTTATACACCTAATTTTAAGTTTTAGAAATAATTAATGACATATAAACAATAATTTTAACACCTAAACTAGCTAGCATACATTGAACATGATTAATTATTAAGAGAATTTTTTCTTTGAAAAAAAAGAAAGAAAGCTAAAATCTCAAATTAATTCTGCTGTTGAGGAAGTCCCGTTCATCACCAGCAGAAATGGCCCCAGCTGAGATGCGAATAAGATTCTCCAGATCTAAGGAGTTTTTCTATAGGTTCATGCACATCGAACACTCACAATCCTGGCCCCGCCTTCATCTCTGCAATCAAAATCATAGAGCACGTAGATCTCATTTATATATATCTCAAGTTCCGTTACAATGAAGTTTTAATTACAAAACAATAAATAAAAAAATTACCGCTGCAAGCGGATGACTGAGTAATCATTGGTGGCTCAGAAATACAGGAAGATACGTAAGACTAGGAAGATAAAAAAGAGACAAGCATGGGTGGCAAGCTAGTTTCATTCAAGGCCTGTGAATCATCGTTTTCGACATCTTGGAGTTTTAATGAACACGTTAGCTTAATCCCTACACTACACGTTAAAGGTCAAAATCCACAGTATGTCTATGGAATGTTCAAGGTCCCACCACCCATCTCCCCATCCAATAATATCATGATCTGACGGCCTATGTAGTTTATCTACAAAGCAGAGGCGATCGATGGTTGCAGAGAAACACTCACACACACCCACACCCACACACACAAGAAATGGGTCTCCAAATAACCTAAACACAAACCCAGAAGGAAACATCGATCCTTTTAGTTTTACCCTCTTATATTTAGGTAATTTACTAGTGTAGTTAAGCCGGTAATGCTGGGCAGCTCGACTGCGGGACCTACTGTCTAGGATCCTTTTCGTTTATCTGGTCCCATGCTTGAATTGGGTGGTCGCTTGGGTATGCGATGGATTTATGCTCTTCACGTTAAAAATCTCGACACTTGTTATGTAGGCATTCAGTTCTTTCCACGAGACACATTAATTATTATTAAATTAATTAAAGATAAATTATTTTTTTTTGACATTTCAAACTATAATAAAATGTTCAAAATATCCTTAAAATCCAAGATATTAAACTAGTTTCAGGGGATTTGTGGTTTTTTTTTACATTGGTTTTTTCATTAACATTATGTCAAGTAAAGGGTTATTTAAATAAGTATACATTAAAAAAACAAAACACGTAATAAAACAATTAAAATATCTTTCAAATCATAAAAATTTAAATTAATTTTAAGAGATTTTTTTTGTTTTTTTAAATGATTATATTTTTTTAATTATGTTAGTTGAGAGGCAAATTAATATCTGACTAAAAATATCAAAAATTAATGGTACATGCTATTTAAGTACTAGCATCTGAGAGGCATCTGCTCCCCTCAAGTGATGTGATGTGTATGATGCTCCCTAACTATCAAAATCTCATTTCATGGAAGAGATGTGTATAGGTGATTAGGGAATAATTTATTACTAGTGGAGTTTTTTTTTTTCTTCTTTAAAAATTATAAATTTATCCTCTTTGTTATTGATATTTCTACTTTAATATTTATTCTTTTTATTTTTTATTTTTTATTTTTATTCTTGGTCTTTTTATAAAAGCTTTATTTATTTACAATCCCACCCTTCAATTCCAATGACTTATATTTTTTTTCAATTTGGTCCTTATTTTTTGGGCCTTTTGTTAAATTGATTTTTATTTTCAATTTCACTCTTCATTCAAAAAATTATTTGTATTTTTTATTTCAATTTTGATCTTCTTTATTTTGATTTTTTTGTACTTTTGATAAATTAATTTTTCTTTTCAATTTCACCCTTCAATCAAAAAATAAAACTCATTTCATGTTTTGATTTTGATCTTTATTTTTTTAATTTCTATTTTATTTTTGTATAACTAAAATTCTTTTTGGAATTGGATTTTTTGTTTAATGACTTAAATTATGAGTTTAAAAAGTTAACTCAAGTTGATATTTTTTTTCTTAATAATCTTTGTGAATTTTTTTTATTTTTATTAGGTTATCCCGATCTCATAACTTGAGTTACGAGTTTGATGGGATAATTTGAGTTGGCTTTACTCTAATTGCCGAGTTTATAAGTTTGTCATACTAACTACGATTTTCTTGAATCAATTTTTTAGTTTTTTTAACCAAGTTTTATCATTTTGTATTTAAAAAGTTGTGAATTGAAATATATCATTATTCTCTTTTGAAAAAAAATATTTTTTATATGCTATAGTGATTATGTTTTTTAATTTAAGTCATTTGTTATTATTAAATTTTTTTATTATCTAATTAAAATAAAACTAAATTATTTAACTCAATCTAATTTAAAAACAAGTCAAATTTTTCTTTTTGAAACACGGTTTCAATAACTAAGAATTATTTTTTACATGGAAACGATGGGGGTGTAAAAGTCAACGATTTCAACTATGGTCTCATACGTTTCCTATAAAATAGTAAAAGAAAATCTGATGGATCTAGATCATGCTTTGGTCTTGTATGCTATGAATCCAACCCTGACTCTCTGCGTGTTCCTGTTGTAGAACTGGTGATATGAAAGGAAAAGAAACTTAACATTTGGAACTTCATAAATGAGTTAAAATTTAGATTCATGATGCTAAAAAGATAAGTCAGGAATTGCGGTTTTGATCATTTCTACTACTAATAATGCCCGCTTTCAAGAATCCATTTATATATCAATTGCATTAATTACTCCACTCTTACATTCAATAAAGTTTTACATGAATTTAATTTATTGAATTAAAACGGCTATAATTAAATTACATGGTGGATTGTATTCTTTTATAATCAAAGATGAACTCAATTAAATGATAATACATGAAAAAATACACGTGTTTTATACAATATACAAATCTCTCTCTCTCTCTCTCTCTCTCTCTCTCTCTATATATATATATATATATATATAAAAGATACTTAGATATTTATCTTTAAAAAAATCTATGTATAACGAACTATACATGAGTATTAAAAAAAAACTGATCTTCTTAGATAATATAAAAGTCAACACAAGTTTAATATAAAATTTAAACAAGACTTAAAAGAATATTTAAGTTTAGAAAATATCATTTATTTTCTCTCTACATAAAAATACAATTCACTATTTCCATCAGCTGAAAAAATAAGCATTGAATTTTTATTTTTTTGCAAGTGTTAATAAGTTTATCAAGTTCTCGGATCCAGTTTTATCCGTCCATGAAAAATACCTACATACTTTCACCTTATAATTTTTACAGCCTAATCATTAAGATATAATAATTTCTAGTTTATGTGACAATGATCTCTTAATATTTTTAAGAGGTCACAAGTATGACTTTTAATAAAGTTACAAACATTACATTTATTTAAAGTTTATGTGAAAGGAGGTGAAAGTTTAACTCTTTATTCTATTACGATGATCAAATTAATCTCCAGTTGGATCGATATTAAGGATCGTCTTTGTGAAAGTTTACATTTGCTGATGACACAATTGCAAATCATTCACTGCTAATCAAATTACAAAGCCGGTGATTCATCCAGTGAGCAGAGTCGCAGAGAAACTTGTTTTTCCCTGGGCAAAGAAGTCAATATTCACCTTGAACATCGGGCAGCCTTTCCTCCTTTATGTTCACATACTAAACAGAGGTTTTGTCCGAAAGGGGCATGATGAGCTAACTTTATACAAGTACCTCGTTTTGTCGCCTATTTCCATGTGAGTCAGTTTATAAATATTGAAGAAATAGACAGATGACCAATGAAGTCATGGTTTTTAACTTTTAACACAATTTATTTATAACTTGTAATATAGAGCATCACAAGTTGAGGAATTGATTAGCCCCATGAGTGAAAAAAACATAGGTAAATTACGCTTGGCCTACCCGGTGCCAGCAGGCAGGCAGGCTGTAGCAACACCGGGACTTGAAAAACCGCGTTTTACAGGGAGGAAACTTTGCATATTGTCATCATGTGACTGACTGATCTCATCTTCCACTGCTTTCTCATTTAAGTCTCCACAAGCACTAAACTCTCTCTCTTTCTCTCTCTCTCACTCACTCATTGAGCTTTGAAACCAGAAGTACTAGTTCTCTCTCTCTCACTCTCTCATTGAGCTTTGAAACCAGAAGTACTAGATCCTACAAGTCCCCATTAGATCTTAATTTCAAGACCAGCACAAACCTAGATTTCACAAAATGGCTCCACTCAAGTACTTGATCTGTTTCAGTCTCAGACAGGTACTTCTGCTTTTTGTTGTTTTGTTTCTGTTCACTTTTCTTCTTCCCTGTGCCTCCTCAGGCAGTGATCAAACACAGCTTGAAGCCAAACAGTTTCTTGTTAGAAGAAGAATGTTAGAAGTGGAAACGAATGAAGACCAAGTACCCAAGAAAAAGAGCGCCAATTTATCCAGCAAGAACCAAACCAAGCTCGCCAAGCCTAGCCTATCTACAAAAAACCAAACCAAGCTCATCAAGACTGACAGCCTATCTACCAAGAATCAAACCAAGATTACAAAATCTACAAATTCAACAAAAGCAACACCCACCCCTTCCACCTCCACTTCTCAGCTCAAAAAGCTGAACTCCACTTCACAGCTCAAGAAACTCAATTCCACATCAAAAGCCGCAGCCAATTCCGCCCCCACCAAGAAAACATCAGATCTTCTGAAACTAGGCCCATCCACTAACAAAACAACCAAACCCACTTCCACAAAACAAACACAAAGCCTTGTAGACAAGAAAGTCGGTGACACAGAATCCCAAAAACAAAACAAGAACCAAAAACAAACCAACCCAAAAAAGACCACTCAAACTAAAAAGCAACAAAGCTGGCTTGACCAGGATGATGAAGATGATTTGGTTGCTGAATTCAGAGATCTACCGTCGAAGTTTCATCAAACTATCATACCAGACCTTGAGAGACTCTCCATAACTTCCAAGAAATACCTTACGCAAGCCAACAAAGATTTGACTAAAGGGTTCAAGCCAATTGTTGGCAATAAATATGCATCTACCATTGCCTCTACAGTCTCTTTTGCATTCATTTTAATACCTCTACTTCTGGTTTCTCTTGTCTTTAACCGTATCAAAGCTTATTTCTCTCTACAAAAGATCTTGATTTTCATCCAAGTTTATCTCTCCATCTACTTCACCATTCTCTGCATCTCTGCATTAGTTACTGGCCTTGAGCCCTTGAAGTTTTTCTATGCTACTTCACAGTCCAATTACGTTTGTTTAATGGTGTTTCAAACCCTAGGCTATGTTCTGTACCTGCTGCTTCTCTTGATGTATTTGATCCTGGTTTTTTCCGCCGAGTGTGGGATGGGCTCAAAGCTGTTGGGCGTAGGCCAGACCCTGGTGGGCTATGCAATTGGGTTGCATTGCTACGTGGCGGTGTTTCATAGGGTTGTTCTGCACCAACCACCCAGGACTAATTGGAAGATTCATGGGATTTATGCCACGTGTTTCCTCGTGATTTGTCTGTTTGCTAACGCTGAGAGGAGAAAGAAGGCTTACTTGGAAGAGGGTGGTGAAGAAGGCAAGAAGAACTAGTTCGTCAAGAAACTATCCCACGCAATCTCACTGAAGATATTTTTTCAAGAAAATGCAATAAGGCCTATTTTGCTCTCTGTCTCTTCTAAATTTTAATACATGTCTCAATTTTAGATGGTACCATTTCTCTCCTTTTCTTGCTATATATATATATCAAATGGGAATGTAGAATTTATGTATGTCTAGTGGGCATTGAATGTAATGTCAATGTTACTCTACAAGGTGGAAAGTAGAATGCTTTCCTTGCAATTGTATCAAATGTCATATAAATATACTTGTATTAGTATTACAAATAAGAATCTTGAACACCTCCACGACAATGCAAATAGGAATGAGACAAGAAAATATATTGCATCGTGTCCATGTTCTTCATAATTTTTATTTTTTAAAAGTATAAATTATACGTTGAAATCTTAATTTAAGTTTTTATATTGAATTAATTATTTAATATAATATTAGAATCATAATAATTAAATGATGATTATTATTTTTATTTATTTAATAAAAATTAAGTATAATATAGCGTGAGTCTGGAAGAGCTTTAACTTAAAAAAATATAAATTATATATTACAATCTCATTTAAGAATTTAAGTTTTGAGGTTAAATTGGTTAGTTGGCAAATCTTATTTATTTTTAAAAAAATTCAAAAATTTTATTTTTTTACTTCAAATTATTTTTTTATATTTTTAAATTATTTTGATATATTGATATTAAAAATAATATTTTAAAAATAAAAAATATTAATTTAATATATTTTTAAAAAAATATACTTTTAAAAATAACTACTACTATAATATTTAGAAGTAATATTTAGAAGCTGATGAATTGATGAAGGTTAGTTTGGTGAGAATGTTGTCAGCCCACGATCCTGAAGAGACATTACGTATTTCCCTTAATTACAATAGTGTCTGTCTAGGTCTCTCCTTGTGTACACTTGAAGTCGCAAATACTTTTCCACTGAAGATATATAGTATTTGGTAGTGATCACTTCCAGCTAATATCGCTGCCAGCAGCGTAGTTTTGATGGCTTGATCTCTGGTGTGATCTTGATTGTGTAGCTTGATCTTGACTTTGAACCCACATTTGCTGACCTCTAAAATGGCACTTTCCAAGCTCTTAAGATTAATTTCAGGCACCAAGAGCTGCTCTGCAAGAAGCCTCTCTCTCTCTGGAATTCTTTGCTTCTGTATTAGATGCATTTACTACAACCTTATTTTAATGTAAAAAAGCACCATTAAGTAACTAAAAAGTGTAGCCTCTGCGATTTTTCTTTCTTAAAAAAACTGTTCTCCATAGACAGCCTCGTGTCGGTTGAAAGTTTGACGTGGCTTAACAAGATGTATCTTCTTTTTTTCTTATCATCTATAAATGAGAACTAGAAGTTAGAGCGGGACCCCTGATAAGTGAGTGCACGGTAGTGGGTTTTTTTCTTGCGTTCATGAAATGCATTTTGTTTCTTTTAAAATATTTTTTATTTTTAAAAATGTAATTTTAATATAGCATGAAATTAAAAAATTAATTTAAAACAAAAATATTTTTTTAAAAAAAAACAGAACAATGGTTCAACTACTGTATCGAATAGTCATTTTATAGTGGAAGTTGTGATAGGAAGTACAGTAAATTTTTTTAATGTGTTTTAAAAGTGTAATTTTTTATATTTTCTAATTTTTTATTATTTTAATGCGTTAATATTAAAAATTAAAAATTAAAAAACTTATTTTAATGTATTTTTATAAACAAGTAAGAAGACATAGGAATACAAGCTTTAGGCATTGAACGTCTGGAAGGAAATCTAAACAACTTTGCGTTGGCAACGCCCAAATCCTAAAAGATTAAAAAAAAAACAAAGCCCATGATTGTTTGTGGCAAATTAAGTTTAGATTTTATGGGCTAGGTTGCTGGAGGGTATACGGGCTGTTGCCGAATGGGTATTATGTTCAAGACGGGCAAATCCTGATATCCAGTCACCGTCAGCCATCGCTCAAGGAAGATTGAGATATATAACAACCATTAGAAGTTATAACCGGGGGGTGGTTCACGGTCCGTTCTGCTTAGGTTTGGGCCAACAAATTTAACCGCATTTCTTTACTTTTAAGAGTTTTAACTTGAATTGAATTGAAAGTCAGTTCAAAACTAAACCAGACTCGGTTTGGGTCAGACTTTTTATACGTAATAAAAATAAAAAATAAACATCTTTAATCATAATACCTACGTTTAGAGTTACACTAAAAAAAAATATTGACAGATCATTGTTATATGTGGACTTCTTTATATAAAAGAAAAGCCCATAAAAAAATGATTTCTGAAAAAATTGAAATACTATTTCATCATACCAGGAAAAATAAGTCTGGAATCATTTTTTATTTGATTATGTCATAAAAAACATATTCACCAATATATATGCACTAAAAATTTACAAGAAAGTTAGCTAAAACTTGTGACGATCAATTAATTGTAATAACTAATAGCAATATTCGATTTGAAGCATCTTTCAAAAATGAAACAGTAAGATATATGCTAAGGTATTTTAGTTTAAATGTTCATATTTTCTCATTATAAATACAAAAGCTAAGTTGTATAATGAATTTTTATAATACAGGAATTGATGAGGGTCTATTTGTTTCATGTAAAATATTTTACACATAAAATATTTCACATGTAAATATTTTTTTTAATAGTTATGATGGTAATAATATAATAATGGTGATGGAAAAGATGATAATGAGATAGTCATAATGATGACTATGACATGATAATGATAGTCAAAAGATCATGATAAAATAGTAATGATTGTGGTGGGATAATAACGGTGATAATAAGACGATAATGGTAATAAAGGAGGTGGTTATGTTGGAGGTAGAAAAAGAGGTGGTGATGAGATAATTATGAAGAAGATGGTCATAGTGATAATGAAGAAAGAGATGATGACGAGATAGTTGTAGTGACATGCTAATATTAGTGGCGGTGGCGGTTGAGGAGAAGGTGGTGACATAACGATGACAGCAAAGGAGGTGGTGGTAGAGGGGGGAGGCGATGGTGGTGGAAAAAATTGCAATGAGATGGTCATAATGATGATTGTGACATGATAATAATGGTAAAAGAGTCATGATAAAGTGGTCATGATTATGGTGGGATAATAGCGATGATAATAAGATAGTAATGGTCGTGAAAGAGGTGGTCATATTAGAGATGAAAAAGGAGGTAGTGGTGAGATAGTTATGAAAGAGGTGGTCATAGTAATAGTAATAATGAAGAAAAAGATGATGACGAGATAGTTGTGGTGACATGCCAATATCGGTGGCGGTGGAAGTCGAGGAGGAGGTGGTGACATAACGATGATAGCGAAGAAGGTGGCAGTGGAGGGGGGAGGTGGTGTTGGTGAAGTGGTGGTTGTGGTTATTGAAATAATTAGATTATATTCCAAGTGGATTATTACTTGTAAAATATTTTTCAGTAAATAAATTAAGTTTGAAAGTTAACTATAAAATATTTTATATTGCTCAACTTTCTTGTAAATGTTTTTGAAGAAATAAATATTAAAAAATCAAAAAAAAAATATTTTTCTATAAAGTATTTTACACAAAAAAAAATACAACCTATGATATTATACTATACTTTAAAAGACATGAGAAAAATATTATACATATACTGTATACATAGACTCATTGTATTGTGAATCACGCTATAGATATAAAGTGTTTGCACTGTTGACGATAATATAACACCATGAGAGCATTGTTTTTGTTATGTTTTGGTTAAAAATTATTATCGGGGACGTTATCTTTTTTTTTTGTGCCAAAAGCTATTAGGTCTGGTTTGACAGCCAGATCCTATCACTTCCAACAAGTGTTAGGTTTCTAACTTGTAGCCAAACTCAGATATTTTTAATTTTATTTTTTATCTCTTTAGATTTTTTATTTTCTCTTATTTAATATTTTTATGTGGTAAAGAGAAAATAAATTGATGAAAAAAAATTTATATTGTACAAAAATTAAGTAATAATAATTTTTTTCAATTTAAGGTTAAATTAAGTTGATTTTCTTTTTTTTAGCATTGGATTTTATTGTCCAACCATTTAAATTTTTTAACCATTAGATTTAATGCACTTGATATATTTTTCATATATTTTTTATTTAAAAAAATTATAATTGACCTGCTAATAATCGGGGTAAAATATGATGGGCTCCCATCAATCTGATTGTGCTCCAAAGCTTTTTCATGCATGCGTTGATATCACCACATATATAATGATATCATCGTCGTTATTGTCTTCAAAGATGCAGAACTCCCTGTTTCATCAACGGGAACTTGTCACATGTCAAGTGCGTGTACCCTACTGTGAGGTCTCCCATCACCTGGATGCGAGATGTTGATGTGTATGTAATGACTCGTAATGCATGGGGATGTGAAATGTCGTCGATATGGACATCAAATTGGTGGGTCCCTCTCCTCCCTCTGCTCCTTTGCAGGGCTGCCATTCATCCTAATGCATGTCCTTGCTCCTGAAAATTCCAGTAGATTATTCGTACACTTAACAAAAACATATAATTTCCCTTGCAATATCTCCTAGAATTCTAATCGTTGGATCATAATGTAAAGAAAAAGCTTTGATTTACCAGATAAAAGCTTTAAGTGTGTTATTAAATTTATATGCATATCTTAAATGATTTTGGATGTGCTTAGTTCGAAGTGGATTAATTCATCATGGTTTTGCCTAGCTAGTTCAATATAGCCGCTAATACTCCCAAGATTTTGTCAAACTGCCATGCATACTCCACGTTGAATCATTATTAAATTTTTCATTTCATGGTTTAATTAATCTGAACCTAAAACAAGAATTAATTTAATATCTTAAGTTAAGATTTTAAAGAATAATTTATATTATTTTTAAAATATTTTCTCGGATAAAGCTTTTTAAATTTAAAATTTACAAACTTTTACTTAATTTTATCAAATTGAATGGAAATAATTATATTTAAATTGTGAGAACTTTTTAATAAAACTATAATACAATATCAAAAAATCATGTCAATTTAAAATTATTAAAATAAATTATAAAATATATATTTATACTATTATCTCACTCTAAGTTAAAATCTCTTAAATCATAATATTATTATAATCATTAAGGCCATGATTACTTTATTTTTATAAAATTATTTTTTATTTAGAAGTGTGGTTGTTTTTGCTTTTTAAAATATTTTTCATATTAAAATACTATAATTTTTTTTATATATAAAATATATATTTAAAGAGAACTATGATATGTTTTAATACAACACTAATATATTAGTC